TGCGCCACCCAGCGAACAAGGCAAAATGTTGAAGAAGCTCGGGCACGCGGGCCAAGATCTGCTGAAGGCTCCTTGAAGAATGCAATGCAAGGTCCACCCAAAACAGCTGGGCAAGCATGGCAAGCGGCGCACATGCAGTCCAGAGCACCGTCTGTCTGGAGGTTGAAAGAAGCACTGCCACGGCTTGCAGCTCTAGGCATTTATCACGGTACAAACAAGCCAGAGCCTCACCTTCTGGTTGTGGAATCCGCTGACAACGCCCAAGAACCCAGTCTCGCAAGGGTCGTAACCATTCCATCCAGCTCTCATGGAAGAGTCGGCTCTGCTTTAGTTCTAACCATGGGAAGTCTCGAAGGTCATCGCAACAGTCTGAAGGCTCCCGAACACACTTGTCCAGCTGCAGTCGACCTGGCAAAGTGTTCGTTGAAAGCTCCAGAAGCTCGGCTAATTACGCATTGCGACAGCAATCATGGGTATGCTTCCCTAACATGAGCAAAAAGGCAGCCCAAAGACAAGCGCCGCTCCTAACGAAACCCAAAATGAAGGCAGGACGGACATGCGTCGTTTTGCGACAAAGCGCGACGTGCGCAAAGGCAGTCCAGTCCGCCGAAAACCGGGGGACGGCGCGGGGGGGGCGCATTCTGCACCCGCCCGACGCCCCCCGGGGGCGGCTGGCGCCAGGGTGGAAGAGGGTGGGAGCTAAAAGTGGGCGGCTTGCGACGAACAGCTGCGTCGTTCGTCGCATGCTTGTCCTAACGCACATGAATAGTGCTACACGACAAGCGCCGCTCCTAACGAAACCCAAAATGAAGGCAGGACGGACATGCGTCGTTTTGCGACAAAGCGCGACGTGCGCAAAGGCAGTCCAGTCCGCCGAAAACCGGGGGACGGCGCGGGGGGGGCGCATTCTGCACCCGCCCGGCGCACCCCCTCTCCCGCTACGCGCCGGCCCCGAAGCTCCACTCAGAAGACAAGGACGCGAGCGCCGACGCCGCCTCGTCGGTGGCGAACTCAAGGTCGTCGGCGGCGCGGAGGAGAACGTTCAGGATGTCGTCGACTGGGAGGTCCAGCCAAGACCAACCCTCCGCCGAGGCCTGGCGGAGGTCGTCTCTGGACACCGCGTCGGAAATGTTGGCCTTCGACGGGACGCGTACGAACTCCGGGAACCAGCAATGGCGCGCCGCTGAGGCCCAGAAAGCCGCAAGGACGCCGTTGACTGCGTCGTCCTTTCCACACCCTTTGAGGAGCGCCCACTGCCCAGCTGCGTTATCTATGTACGCCGTCCATAAGCTGGGCAGACGGGCGCCGAACGCCAGCAGCGGCAGGAGTTGGGCGACGATCTCGAGGACGTAGATGAACGCCTTCCTCGACGCGAATCGTCGGAGGAACCACGCCGGGACGACGCCCCTGCTGTAGAAGACCTCGTCGTCGATGACCAGCACGAAGCCCCAGCCATTGGCCCACCGGTCCGCCGGGCGCGCCTGGGCGGACCGTGGCACGAACCCCGCTTTGTGCACCACGTCGCCCTCCTGGAAGAACGCGTCGGCATAGAGGACGGCTCGTCGAGAGGAGGACGGTTGGAAGGGGACGAACCTCGGCTGCACCCGCCGGAGGATGCCTCTGAGCGCCATCAGTGCGGCGCGAAGGCCCAGCGAGAGCCTGTCGTCGGAGGCCGCCGCGGCGTCCGCCGATCTGGCGTAGATGGGCTTCAGGGCGGCCTTCCCGAGGGCGCCGAAGATGGCCTGCGTGAGGAAGGCCAGTTTGCCCGCCAACCGGTGGGCGACGTGCGGCGCCAGCTGGTCGGACGACAGCGCCTCGTCGATGGCGAGCAGGAGCTTTTTCCGGCGCCTTTCCGTCGGGGAGAGCCGGACGCCCTGCGGCGTGACCTCGAACAGGACGCCCTGGACTGTGTGCGCCGACTGTGGAGGTTGCGCCTTGGACGCCTTCGTCTGAAGTCCCAGCAAGGAGAAGACGTCGGAGAAGGCGTCGTGCGCGTCCTGGGCGGCCTCGGGGAAGTCCAGGGCGTTGAAGTCGTCGACATAGTGCCCCACCGCCAAGAGGAGCAGGTGGCGCAGTAGGACCTGGAGGGCGTCGCCGGCGCGGTTGAAGTTCCAGACAGACGCCGCGGCGCCGAAGCACATGGCGAGGTGGAACCACAGTGTCACGCCGTGCTCCGTGGCCAGGAAAGTACCCGAGTGCGCCGGGCGCTTGACTGCCCACTGCCTGTACGCCGACAGGAGGTCGTGACCGAGGACGAGCGGCGTAACCCCCAGGCTGGCGAAGCGACGTGCCAGGTCGACGAAGTCGCCGACGAAGTGGTGCGTCGGGACGTCGGTGGCCTTGACGGTGCTGTTGTGCCCGGACCGCCTCCAGTCCTCGCCTCGGCGCAGCTTCTCGTCGCCGTTTTCGTCGAACTGCACGATGGGGAAGGATGCCGCGACGAAGATGTCCTGGTCCGGCGGCTCGACGAGCGTCGTCATGTCCTGGAGGTGGGGCAGCGCCACGGTCCTGACCGGCCAGTCCGAAGGGGCCCGGGCCGGGCCGATGACCCGGCCAAGTCGACGCTCCTGGACAAGTTCGGCCAAGAGGGCGTCGGAGTGGGCGCCGGGCCTGGCCGTGGGGAGCCTCTTGAACAGGTAGCGCCGGTTCGCCGACCTCAGTTCCTGCAACGTGGCCGGGTTGGAGTACCTGTCGTCGTCTCTGGTCTTCCAACCCGGCCCGGGCTTGATCTCGCCGAGCATGTCGAAGCCGTCGGAGAGGTCGTCGGAGAGGGACTTGACGTCGGGGTAGCCGGCTTCCTGCAGAAGGTGGAGCAGAAGCGGCACTTGCGTCGGTCTATCCCTGTCCGGGGTAGAGTACGTCGACCGGACCGGGAATGGACGACGCGCCAGCCACTCACGGGTCGTGTCCTCCATGTCTTCGACCAGGGACGTGAGCTCCTGGACCACGCCCCGTCGTATGCGGCGGAGGTCATGGCGCCACATGTTCGCCACCTTGAGCACCCATTCAAGGGCGGGCTCGAGGGCGCCTCGCCGCCATAGCCATTCGCCAATGGTCCTCCTCCGAGATGGCCTCGTCGACGGCGGGCGTGCTGGCTCGTGGCGGGGGTTCCATAGGCCACAGGGCCGAACCGCGCAGGGTCTGGAGCCACTGAAGCGTCGACGACGGCGGCGGCCCCGTCGGTGGGTTCTGCGCCTCAGTCTGGCCGAGCGACGCAGCCACGACGACGATGGACAGGAGGTGTGACGCCACCCCCCAGTGCCAGCCGTTCCCGACGAGGCGGTGGCGTACTCTGTCGTCGTGGCCCGCCGTGTAGTCCTTGGGCAAGTGGTGGAGCGCCTCCTTGACCGTCGGCGGTGGGACGACGAGGTGCCCCGCTTCGTCGGCCATCATCGCCTCCCGCCTGTAGTGCCAAGGCGCGAACTGGCGCCGATCACGCAGCCACCGGTCCCTGACGTCGTCGGCGACCCGGCCCCTGCAGGACTTCGGGGCTGGGCGGCCGTTCTCATCCTCCGCCGGCGTCGTAGCACACGGCAGGAGTGCACGGCCGGCCCTGACGGCGTCGTCGAAGCGTACCCAATAGACCAGTTTAGACAATTTTCAGACGTATCCCGAAATCAACCGATTCAAGCGAAACTCTACGATTTCGACAACAAAAATGGTTGACGAATTCTCAGAGCCATGGGCAGAAAATAGTTAACGAATCGAGAGGATTTTTCGACAAAAAAATATTGTCGAAAACGAAGGATTTCTGCCGAATTCGGCAATCTGCGTTTTCACGAATTCGACAAAATTTGTCGAATTCGGCAACTCTCCGGCCGGCAAACTTCCATCAAACTTCCATCAAACTTCCACACCAAACTTCGACCAAACTTCCTCGCCTCATGCCTTGCAAACTTCCACCAAACTTCCATCAAACTTCCACACACTGAGCATCCTGCTCGGGAAATAGCACACAAACTTCCACAGATGGCCCGCCCAAACTTCCATCAAACTTCCTCTGTCACCCCCCCGAAACTTCTATCAAACTTCCTCTGGAATCCCGTTTTCGCAGACGAAACTTCTATCAAACTGCCGGCGGCATCAGCGGAAGTTTACACGAAACTTCGACCAAACTTCCTCTGGGCGACGTGGGCAGTCGACATACTTTTTTTTGTCGAAATCGTGACTCCTCTGACGAATTCGACAATTTTCGGGGGTTGGATTTCAATTGAATTTGTGTCACCTGGTTCTGACGAATCGACAAAAACACGTTCTGACGAATCAACAGAATTTTCACGTAGGCAGCATGTCTATCGAATCGTCAGGAATCTGTCTAACCTGGTCTATTGGGTAGGGGGCCGACGTGGAGGTCCTCCTCCGCCGCTCTGTGGGCGCCGATGCGGAGTTTGCGCCACCCCTCTTTGAGGGACCAGTGGAGCGCCTCCCCAGAGAGGGGGTGCGTCGTGAACTTGGACCAGTCGATCGTCGCCCACCACAGCCTTGGCCTGGAGATCCAGCCGAAGTCGGACCCACACGCCAGCACTGGCTGCACCTGCAGCCGCTGGGACACGACGTCGGCGTCAGACTTCTTCATGACGACGTTCTCCCAGAGGGACACGACGGTGAACTCGTGGAGCTCCTGGACGAGTTCGTCGTAGAAGTCCAGGGCGACGGAGAAGAGGCCGCCGCGGTCGCCGTCGTGGCCCCGGCCCTCGGCGACCCGGGAGAAATCTTGGCAAGGCGGCGAGGCCGCCCACAAGACTATGGCCTTCGCCTCGGGGTCGGCCCGCCGCACCACTCTGGCAACGTCGCCCGCCGAGTCCCTGGTGATATCGCCCCTGTGTTGGAGCCAGGGCATGTGCCGCGCCGAGAGGTCGGCGCAGATTGGGTCCGTCTCCCAGGCCAGCGCCAACAAGGGCTCGCCGAACTCCTTCGACACGAGCCAGGGGGCGGCCCCCACCCCGTCGAACGCCGACAGGACGATGATACCCTGGCCGGGGGGGCGCCGGTGCAAGAGCTTAATCCTCTTCGGCGGCGGGTCGGGTACCTCGCCCCCCTGGGCGACAGGCGAGGCCCCGCGCTGTCCCTAGCGCTTGGCGCCGGAGCCCTTCTTGGGCTGGGACTCCTGCGCCTCTCTGCCCCACTGCTGGCCGCCGGTGTTGGACCATGAGCTCCAGGAGCCCAGTCGTCGCGGCGTTGGCCGGAGGAGCCAGCTCGACGATCGTCGTTCCAGGAAGACCAGGCGTCCTCGGCCTGCCTGCGCTGTGGGCGGGGGCGCGCGGCGGGGGGGTGGACCCACGACCACGTCCCTTGGGCTTCCTGCTCCTTCCCCCTCGTCGTCGGCCAGCCCCCTTGGTCGGCTGCTCCGCGTCGTCCGCCGTCTCGGCGGCCGCGGCGTGGTCGGGGTTGGGGCGACGAGGCGGCTGCTTCGGCGGCCGCGCCATGACCTCGTAGAAGAGGGCGTGGTCGTCCATGATCGCCTTGGTCGCCTCGCCGAAGGACTTGCCGAGTCGGAGGTCCATCGCCAGCGTCCAGCCGATCGCCGACCAGAAGTCGACGACCTGCTCGATCATGGTGGGCCTGGAGCGCGCCTTCGCCGAGAACCAGTCGATGAAGGTGTTGACCGCCGACTCCGGCCCCAGGTCGACCAAGATCCATGCCCACCTGACCGCGTCGACGCCGTCCAGGACCGCTAGGAGGGTCCGAGGGGACCACTCCTTCTCCTCCGCCGCGCCGGAGGCCCGCCGCACGGCGTGGGGGTTGATCTCCCCCGACGCTTGGTACGTGCGTCGAGACAGGATCTCAGTGAGCGACACCGGCGTGTATGCTTTCGACGCCGTGTGTTCGTGCCAGATCCTGGCCAACACCTCCTCGGCACCGAGGAGCGTCTGCGTCGGGAAGCGCCGACGAGCGCCGTCCAGGAGGCGGCTGTTGTAGGCCTCCACCTGCGTCGCCCACGCCAAGAACGACTTCGGGGGCTTGTCGTCTGGCCTCGCCGGAGGGGCCGCCGGAGCGCCGGCCTGCGCTGCCGGCGCCGGTTGCAGCTGCGGCGTCTGGCAGTGCGCCTCCCATTGGCGGCGGGCCTCAGTCCACATGTGTGTGACGATGGCGGCGGCGACCTCCTTGTGTTGGTCGTCGAGCTTGTGGTGTGTACCGTCGACGTCGATGCCGTCGACGAAGGGCTGCAACAGAATGCGCCGCAGGTCTTCCTGAGTGGCAGCGATGAGCGCCAGCGTCGAAGTCCTGTCGACGCCCCTAGCTCGTAGGTACGCGAGCACCGGCGGGGCGGCGCCGGCCAGGCGAGCCAGGTCGTCGAACGGCATCAGGTTGGAGGCGGCCGCCGGGATCGCCATGTGTCCGACAGGTCCGACGACGACGGGCTATCGGCGACTCCAAAAGGGCTGCGGCGAGTGACAAAGTGTGAGCAAGGGGGAAGAAGGAGGGGCCGGAGGGGGGGAGCAAGGAGGAGGCTGCGCCGACAGACTGAACTTTTTTCCCCGGCGGCGGCGCCGAGGTAAACTCAGGGAAAACAAACACGGCAAAGCAGCTCGTGCGCCGGTACAAAGGTCAACTGACCTCTGACGGCGTGCGACGAGGCCGCCCTGCCACATGCCAGGCGTCGTCGGTCGTGCTCAAACGACGGCGACGACTTGTGGATCCCCACCACACTACCGCCGGGCGTCCTCTCAATGACGGCGACGACGCCGATCCAGTGCCGGGATGCCGGCGGCCACAAGGCGGCGATGGCGTCCCACGTCGGCGGGAGAGGCCCCCCCGGCGTGACCCCAGGCTGGCGCAACTGCACCAGCGCCGCCCTGGGGTCGAACATCGGACGCCGGTTGCAGGCTGAACGGCCTCCCACCCGGCCACCTCGGCGCCCACGACGACGGCGGCGGGGGCCTCGGCGCCCCAGCGCCGGGCCAGGTGGGTAAGGCTCCCTGCCGGCGCGCCGCGCCGGGCCCCAGATGGAGAAGGGCGTCGGCGTCACGCCCACCCCGGCGGCCGAGCTGGGAGCCGGCGGCGCCCCCGAAGGGATCGGCGTGGGCGGCGGCGGACCCGACGGCATCCAAGGCAGGCCGACCGGCCCCGGCGGGTGGATAACACCTATGCCGAGATCGCCGCCGCAGGCGCCGGTGTCGGCGGGGCGGGCGCCACATGTGAGGATGCCGGCGACGCGGGCGGCGAGGCGTCCCCAGGCGACGTGGGCAGGCGTCGCTGGCCAAGTGCGACTCAGATTCGCCGCCCTCCGCCGCCAACGCCTCGCCGAAGATGTCGGCCTCGTCGGGTCCACCGCCGAGCTGCTGCGGCGGGTAGTGCGTCGAACATGACGGCACATAGTCCGCAGCGCCGGTCGTCGACGACGCCATGGCAGCAAACAAGAAGACAGCGGCGAACGGGCGAGGTCACTGAAATGGGCTGCGACGACAAGGTGCAAGTTCTTACAAGCCCACGCCGAGAAAAAGGGGGGGGGGGGAAGAAAGGGAAGGAGAAGCGACGAAGGCGACCCAGCTGGCGCGACTCACCTTTTCCCTTGGCTCAGTCGTCCGATTCTCCGGAGCCGCTGCTGGACTCCGGAGACGACGAGTGCTCGGAGTCCGCGGACGGCGACTCCACCTCCTCCGTCGGGGATGGCGCCTCATGCGCCGGAGGTCTAAAGCAGCGCTTGCAGCGCCTGGGATCCGGCGGTTCCGCCGAGATCCGAAAATGGGATCTAACCCCATAAGGCCAGCCGCACCTCGCCTTGAACAGAAGGGGGTCCTTACTGGACTCGTGCGGATCTGGCCGGTGCAAGCGCCGGTTTCGGCGATGCATGATGAAGGTGTCCGATTCATCGACCGGCGGAATCGCCAACGCCACGTCAGGGGCCTCCAAAAAGACGATCCCGGGTAGGTCCGACTGCGGCGAAGGGGGCGCCGCTAACGAAGCGGCTGCGTCCCCGTCCCTCTGCAGGCTCGCCTCGACTGGAGGGCCCGACGGTTCCTCGTCGTGGGTCAGGTCGACGACTGCCGGCAGCGCCGGGGCGGCTCCGGCTGCCAGCGCCTGGGCCGGTGCGAGCGGCGCCGTTGACAGGGGCGCCGACTGGGTGTACCGAAGTATGGCCCAGGATGACCAGCGCCCCAGGAGCTGGATCACCGGGAGCGGCACGCCCCTCGCCGCCAAGAAGGTGGCCCCGGCGACTCGGGCCAAGTGCCCCTGAAACCTCGGCCCGCCGTGTCGACGAAGAAGCATTCGACGCCCGCCACTAGCAGGACGCCGGCCGCCGCCTGGAAGAAGTCCTTCTTGGAGAAGCCGTCGCCGCCGGGGCCGGGGAAGAGAGGGCCGTCGGGGTGAACACGCCCCGCGCTTCTCATCCGTCGGCAGTGCCTCTCCGCGGCGTGGACGGGGCAAAGTGGGTGGACCCGGGCCTCGCAGACGCAGCGAAGTGAGCGCCGCGTGAGGTCCCTCTGGCCCCCCTGTGCCACCTTGTGCAGCGGCACGGCGAGGCAGACCTCTCTCTCGGAGAGGTGGAGGTCGGCCAACCTCGCCGCCGCTATCTCTATCTCGCGCAGCATGAACCAGGTGGCGACGATGAGGACGTCGACGAAGTGGGCGGGGGTCCCGAAGCAGAAGGCGTCGAGATCGAGGTGGGCCACTGCAGCGCCGACCGCGTCGAGCGGGAAGGCGTCCTTCAAGTTGGCGCCGGGCAGGCCTCTAGTCGCCGACCTGACATAGCGCCGGATCGCCTTCCTGACGAGTGGCGACACCGGCGTGTGGAGGTAAGCCTCCTGAAACCACACAGCGGCGTCGAAGTAGTTCTGCGCCGATCTGTATGCGCCGGCTTTGAAGGAGGCCGCCAGGCAGCGGACCAACTCCACGTCGATGGGCCAAGGCTCCCTAGCCCAAGCCTCGGCGAGGCGACGCCACGTCCTCAGCCTGGACTCCACCGGCCCCCTGGAGGAGCTCGCCAGAACGCCGGCGTCGAGGGCGTCGAGGGCCCTCTTTCTGTTCGCCGGCACCGCCGCCGCCGCGAGTGACGCCGACGCCTCGCGGCGACGGACCGGCACGTCCGGGCGGCCCGGCACCGCCAAAGGCTCCGGTGCCGGGGCCGGCTGTTGCGGCGGCCTGATCGTGACCAGGATCTCGATGTCCTGCGCCGGGACGCCGGCAGCGAGGAGCGAGCTGGCCGCCGATTGGATGTCGCCGGCGATCGTCGGCAGATGGCGCTGCAGACCAATCGCCTGCACAGCGGCTGCCAGCTCGCCGAACGATCCAGCGACGACGTCGGCGGCGAGCGCCATGATCGAGTCAGGTCCAGAAGACTGCCCGCGAGGGACTGAGCCGAGACAAAGGGAACAAGTTAAGAGGCAACGCAAAAAGAAGGGGGGGAGGGGGGTACAGCACGCGAGTGCAGCGACGACTGAAATGAGAGGAGCCCAACTTTTTTCCAAGGGGTACGCCGAAGAAATGCGCGTCAGTGCAGCCGCCGCCACGCCGAAAAGCTGTAGCGCGGCAGGCGACGGAAGATGGCCCCCCGGCTTCGCGGGGGGCGGTGGCGCCGCTCAGGGGCGTCGTGCTTCGAATTCGCGCCGATGCCGCTGGTGCCGAGGGTGGTGGCACTCGGCGCAAAAATGCGGCGAATGTCGGTCCTCTCGCCCCAAGACGATGGGGCGCACCGACCGGCGGGCTCATCGCCGAGGCGGCACGCCGGGTTGGAGCACCGGTGGGCGCACCAACCCGACGATGAAGCGCCCCGCCGTTGCGTGCTCGCCGGGTATGCGGCCGCCCCAGACGCCCGACGGCAGCGCCGTGAGGACCCAATAGGGCGCCTCCGCCGCCCTGGGCATGACGGCGCCGTCGGCGGTGGCCTCCTCCCGCCGAATGAGGTCGCCGTACGTCGGGACCAGAAGCTGCGCCAGGTCCGACGAGGGCGGCGGGAGATGCTCCGCCCTGGCGCCGCGACGCTCCACCCGGGCCTTGTAGGCGACGTACTCCTCGCCGTTGGCGGCGACGGCGGCCTCCAGTCTCGCCGCCGCCCGGGCGTTGTCCCGGGTTTCCTGGAGCGCCGCGACGTGGAGCCTGTCCAGCTCGGCGTCCTGGGGCGGCAGCGGCGGCGGCGGCGCCTTGGCGGCGGGGAAAACGGAGGGCGCCGCCTTCGACGGCAGTTGCGGCGGCGCCTTCTTCGGCCGCGGCGCCATGGAGGGATCGGACGCCAACTCGGCGTCGATCTGGCGCTGGATTTCCTCCAGGCGTGCCGGCGTCGTAGCCGGCGGGCAGGCGTCGCCGGCCCGTGCCGCCCTGGGCACCGTGGCGAAGCTCTCCTGGCCCAGCTCGACGCGCCGATGCTGCAGCCACTCCGCCGCCGAAGGGCCGCCTCCGCCGCGTTGGGGAAGGAGGCTGCCGCCGGAGGTGGCGGCAGAGGCGGCGACTTGTATGGCGACGGCTTCGCCTGGGCCGGCGTCGGGTCCGCCGCCGCACCCGGCGCCGTGGTGATCGTGTCGTTGGGGGCGTCGGGGATCGGCTCCGTGGCGACGACGACGGGCTCCACGGTGTTCGGCGCGACGTTGGTGATCTGGGTCGTCGGGAGGTCGCCGGGAATCACCGCGGTCGGCAGGTCGTCGTCGAAGTCGGAGATCGGCGCGACCATGGCGACGGTGGGGGCGACGACCTCCTCGGAGTCGTCGTCCAAGGCCGCCGGGATGAAAGGCCTGCCACCCGTCGACGACGATGGCGGGCCATAGGAGACCGGCTGGCCAACCGGCGGGAGATCCGCCGGGCCCTCCGGTTCAGGCTCAACGACGGAAGGGGCGTCGCCAGCCACGGAAGGCACCGGGCCCGGCGCCGTCGTTGGGGTGGTCGCCGCCGAAACGAGCGTCGGCAGTGGTGGCGGCGGCGCCTTGGCAGGGAAAGAGGAGGGCGCCATCGCCGAAGCCACCTTGGCCATCGCCGACGTCGAGGAAGAAGATGAGCTGTTCGTCGTCGCCTGCCGCTGGGTCACTGCCGCCGCCTCGGCCCCTCCCAGGTCGCGTAGGTAAGCTGCGACGAGGTGCGGCGGGAGGGGCCTGGACCTCGTCTGGAAGACGAGGGTCGCGTGCGCCGCGACGATGCGCTCGCGACAAGGCAGCGGCAGCGCCGACACCAAGTCCAACGCCGAGGAGTCGTCGCGGAGGACCTCCTCCAGGATCTCGGCGAGGACGGCGATGTCGACGTTGTGTGAAGACATGGCGACGAGGGTCTACACACAAAGGCAGCTAAAAGTGGGCGGCTTGCGACGAACAGCTGCGTCGTTCGTCGCATGCTTGTCCTAACGCACATGAATAGTGCTACACAACAAGTGGAGAGTTGCAGGAACCAGGGAAAAGGACGTCTACCTGTC